GGATCATTACAGCTATGGGATAAACGGGACCAAGAATGGAGTCCAATGAAGGATGCTGCCTGGAGCGTGTCCCCTGAAGACAGGCTTTGTGTCCCTCACAGCTGTTCTGTTGCTGGGGGTGTAATTAATGTGATGCTGACAGCCTGCTGTGGGGAAACAGATTGGTCCCAAATTACATACAATTGTAAGAAGTGTTTTCCCTTTCTCCTCTAAATGCACACTCACAACACACAGCGCTAATGAAGTAACTGCAGTGCACCCAGGTCAAACGAAGGCACTCTTGAAAACAGCCAGGATGGGGGGTGGTGGTGGGTAAGATTCTCTTGCCCAAAGCCAGGGTGCCAATTACCAGGGTGCTTTATAGCTGGAGATCAAGAATGAAGATGCTTCCTTTCAGATGCCGGGTGCAATATTAGTTGGTCAGTTAGAAGCAAACTGAAGGCAGGGCCTGCTGAGGAGTGGAATGATGACTTTATTCTGGAAGGTTCTAGAAAGGGATTTTCTTCTATACATTGGAGAGAGGCTTAGAGATTAAAGGCATATTTGGAATCATAACAGGAATTACTCACTCAGCCATTTTAATGATGTTCCCACGAAAACCCCTGCGTTCACGTGCCATTTGCTTTTAGATCGTGACGATGATGATATTAACAGATGAAGTCAACATTTAGGGAGCAAATTCAGAGCTCTTCTTACTCATTAAATCCCGAACATCCCTTCCAACTTAAGGTGATCAAAGTATTTTGTATTGATAGAGCTAAGTACTTTGTACGAATTAACACATTTATTCCTCACGACAACCCCGTGGGGTACAGTAGGGAAACTGAACACAGAAAGGTTAAGTGATTTGCCTAAAGGTACACAGCTTGTAAGTGGTAGAACTGAGATTCAAAACCAGGTTTTCATCTCTAGAACTCAGCCACAACTAGGCAGCAACTGTAGATTCAGTAAGCATTCATTTCACAAACACTTGGGGAAGCATTGCAAGTACACTCTGAATCAAGTTATTAATCATTTCTCTCCCTTAGCTTTTGTGAAACAGCTCATGGCCAAATCCATCTCTCCTATTGCCAGCCCCCTGACCCTTGGGGAACATATTTTGGCAAAAAAAAAAAATATATATATATATAGTGCATGAAACGCATTCCTGTTTTCAACCTTTCTCACACTTATTTTCCAACAATATGATTTCCCCACTTAAAAAAAAAATCAAGACATTTTACTTTTCTGAGCTCCCTCAATCCTGGAAGGAGGCCAGATATAAAGGAAACACACTGATAACATAAATATGATAAATGTTTCTAAGTGGCCAGCACATTCCTCTTTGCCTTCTACATTAAACTATCAACCATTTTAATCTCTTAGAACCCTCTAGAAACAGGAACTCTGAATTTCCAAATTCTAACCAGCACCAAAGCAAACACAATGAACTCAGAAGAAAGCAGGTGCATAGCCATTTCTGGAGTTGGTTAACGGACTAGCTACTTATGTGCATGTCTGGAGCAGGAGATGAGAGACAGGAAGTCGGGCAGCCGTATCTGCCAGGTGTATGTATCACGCTCAGGACTTGAGTGCTAGTGACACTTCGGGCTGGGGAATTCTGTTTCGAGGGCCTGTCCTGTGCACTGTAGGATTTTAGTGGCATCTCTGGCTTCTTCCCACTAGATGCCAGCTGATTCTCCCTCTTCAGTGATCACAACACAGAGCATCCCCAAACATGACCAAGTGTCCTGTGAGTGGGGGAAGAACCCACAGTTGAGAACCACAGACTTAGTACCAGCACTGCGGCTTCACTGCTCCATTATGCTGTTCGTTCTTCCTATATTACGCTTCCTCACTCTTTCTCATCTGATGCATTCCCACCCACCTCTCCAGTTGTGCCGCTCCTCCCCCAGGAAAGCCACGCCTGCAGTCAGAGTCATCACTCCCACTGCGTCCCTGTCCCTTGGTAAACTTCTCTGCCCCTCTGCTGCCTTCACCAGCCCCATTATCACCACAACTCTTCGCCAAGCCGAGTGCTTGACACTAAACTCTCCCAGGAAACCCTGGACGCAATGTCCTACTACTGTATGTCTCCAAGAGTAATGAAGCACAGAGAATAATAGCGAACAAACCGTACAGCCAGGATTCAACTCCCGGTCTCATGATCATAACCTTATGCCTTCACGCTCCAATCACACATGGCTTAGCAGTCGTTTTAGTAAAGGGCTCTCCCCCACCTGGACCCTGAGCTCTTCTTAGAAGCATCACTGTGCACTCCTAGCAACACCCAGCCAAACAGACGCTTAGGAAAATACACCAAAAGGAGCTGCCAGCTGGCCATCTGGCATCCACCCAACTGTAGCCCCATTCTCTCCCTGCAATGCTGCAAACATGGCCCTGCACTGATTCCTTGTAACCTGCACCTTCTCTCCTTCCAGTGGTGGCAGGTCGAGAAAGTGAACCCCATCAAGCTCTACGAAGAGAACAAAGTCATCGCTGGGTTTTCCCTTTTAAATCTGCTCTTCAAGCAGGGCCGTGCTGGCCTCATTCAACGAGTGGTGGACAAACTCATTGGGCTTTACACGCAGAAGAAGATCAAGCCCGTGGTGGACTCCCTGTGGGCCCTGGAGGAGGTAAGGACGGTGTGTGCCGCCGGCAAACAATCTCTTCTTTTTAGTCCTGGCAGGTTGAGCAGCCAGTTCCAATCTTTTATTCAGTGGTTTTTCTCCAGGCTTGTTTGTTTTCAATGAGGGTCCTAAAAGTCATTGTCCTATGGTATACAGCACTTTGGCCGTAAGAAATGCTTTAAGTTGCATGGGGGTTCTCAAATCATGTGCCTCACCATGCCATTTGTGCCAGGAACCCTTCCCAGGTAGGTCACCAAATTTTGATGGGTTACCTTGGTTACCTTGGTTACAAGAGCACGTGGACATTGCGGCAGCATCAATGATATCCTCATCCTGTGGGCATGTGAGATCAAGGTCAGGGCAAAAAATGGCTCAGAGTAGAAGTGATTTGTGTGCAAAGCCCAGATGCTTGGGGCCTCTTTCAGACGTGAACGGTCATGATGGGCACTGTAATTATTAACAAATTGTTGGATCTAGTGTTTGACGGAGTCTTTTCAGTAACGAATCTGTCCCAAAGTTCTAGTATTTGAAAGCATTCCTTGATCAGACACAATTAAGAACCCCTTGGGTCCTCTTTAAGGATACTGGCTGTCGTGGGTCAAGTGAGATGTGCTAGGAGGAGGCAGGGTCTGGAAAGCCCTTCAGGACAAGGGAAGTTTGGGACATTTGGGAAGCCTGTCATTGGAGCTTCCTGTTAGGAGAAAGTGAAGACATGTGGTCTAGGTTTCAAAGGCATTTCACTTAGAAACCTTCCTAGGTCAGGATGTCGTGACCTGGACATCCCCTGGGAAATGCTGTAAAGGATGTGGGAGTGTGGTTTTGTTGTTTGGTCTTTGCATTTTGCATGGGCAAGCGCCTTACAGTTCAAGTATGTTTGGGTACTTTTGGAGTCGTGGACACCTTTGAAAAATCGAGCAAATATAAAATTCTGTGGAACAGATGGCAGCTCTCATCCTGGCAAGAAAGCCAGCACTCTTTGCCTAAGGGATTAGGTTGGCCACAATCCAGTGGATTTCCTAAGCACAGAAATCCCCCATAAAGCTCTGTGGGGGTCAGCATGTAATCGAATAGGACGAGTCCTGGATCCACGGTTCAGGCCTGTATATGTATCATGTACGACGAGTGAGCTTTCTAAAACCCAACCACCAAAACCCCTTGTTTCTTACAGTAAAAGACAGACACGCTTATTATAGGAAATTAACCAAAAACATAAGGAGAAAATAAACTGCAAGTCGACATTCCAGAGATGGATAACGTTGTTAGCACTTTGGTGTGCTTCCTTCCGGTCTTTTTTCTACCACAGATGCTCACAGTAATTCAGTTTTCTGCTAAATCAAATCCAGTAACATGCATTCCTTCTGCTGTGTAATTTCCAAGATGGTGAGCCTACTGTAATCCTTTTCTTGAAAGTGTTTTGAATTTAATGAGTCAGACATCCATATGGTATTCATTGTGGTATCTTAGTGGAATAGGGAAGGGCTCTGGACTGCAAGGTGACCAGTTCTCAGAGTTTAGGGAGGAGAGAAAACCAGGGACAGTCAAGACCAGGGCAAAGAGATTAATTTGACCATAGAGCAAAGGGGACTTAAACTCAGTGCCACAAGGACCCAACACATCTGGTAGACCAAAGTGAGGGCTGAAATGAAAGAGGGGTCCCCAAGGGGCTCCTCATTCTAGTACTTTAACTGGTTCCTTGGTCACAGTGCAACTGAATCACCAAAAAGGGACTGAGTAACTACTGTGCCCAATACTGTGCAGGTCCTGGGGATACAGTGCCAAACAGATGGCCAAGATCCCTGGGTTTTAAGGAGCTTAGATTCAAAGGGGTGAGAAGAAGCAGAAAATACTGATGTGAACAAAAATAAGCAGGGTGTTCTTCCACTGCAGTAAGTTCTTGGAAGGAGTTAAATTAGGGTCTATACTGGCAAATCTGTGGAGCGGGGAGGCAGTTTCTACAGAGCAGTTTTTTTCAACCTTATTTCATGACTGCCCCCAAAGGAGACTTTTTAGACTTTTTTTTCCCCTTAATCAACTTTCTCTTCAATTTTAGTAACATAGATAGACCATCTACCTACCTACCTATCATCTATCTGTTTGTTCTGTATGTATATTTGCACTTCATATACATTAAAAGAGTGAGATTTTTAAAAAATCCTCCAAGAACCATTTTTTTCTACCCTTTGGAGGTGGTCTTGCTCCCACTGAGAATGCATGCTGCAGAGTAACTTGAGAGAAGGCAGGCTAGGTGCTGTCTGAGCTGGGACAGGAAAGGAGTGAGGCACCAGAAGAAGAGCATGCAAGGCACAGAGACCCTCAAAAGCAAAGGGACGAAGAAAGACGATCTTGGTGAATTCAAGGGACAGAATTAGGAAGCTCAATAAACATGCATCATATGAGTGAATTAATGAATTCACCAACACACAGACGTATGACTACTTGGATGCTTTCTAAGTTTACCAACAAATATTTGCTGAATGAATGAATAAATGAACTAACAAGCTATACTAAAACACTGTAAGATGACTTGATCACGACGGACATTTTGATTGACTAATCCTTTGTTGAGGGCATGAGTGGGGCTGCCCCACGCATGGTAGGATGTTTAGCAGCACCTCTGGTCTCTATCCACTAAATGCTAGTAGCATCCCCTACCGTCAGCTATGACAATAAAAAATACCTCCAGACATCATCAAATGTCCCTGGGTGGGCTGGCAGGAGGGGCAAAATCTTTCCTAGTTGAGAACCACTGCTTTAAAAGAATCCGTGTCTGGTAAGACAGCCACCAGGAAAACAAAGGAATTATAGGTCCCTAGCAGCACGGAGGGGAGACAGACGGCTGCTATCCTGTTTGCCAACAGAAGCATCCACGGCCACTCGTCAGGAACACCCACCAACTTTCTGATGGTTCTTCTCTGCAGTATTTACTGACATCTCTTTGGAGCTGCGGTTGGGCCAAATTCGGCTATTTATCAAGCCCACACAGCTCTTCTGGGCTCGAAGAGAAGAGAGCATGCTTATTACTTGCAAACCTCCGAAGGGGGACTGTAATGATTCTCCCCTCTTCCCTCTGGTAAATGATTTCACAAAATTGCTTCTCAGCCCAGCTTTATAACTTCATCTGTGGAATTTAAAGCCTACAGGGATTAAAAGAAAATTTTCTTGGGCTGAGAACTCAAACCAGAAGATTTAATAATATCAGAGGCGATTAGGGTTTTTTTTTAAGCCATCTATCTTTGACTTTATTGTAAATTTAATACACAGAGTGGATGATACCCTGCCACCTCAGGTTTGGCTCCAGATAGTAAATGTGCAGCTGTACATTAAGTTGAAAAATCAGTTCAGATGTGGGGAAGGGACAAAAAATACTTAGACCTGTCAACAAAGCAGCAGTGATTTTACTGAGCATCTACTATGTACTGGTACTATGTTAGGATGTCAAACTTACAGAAAGGATAGATCACGTGTTCCCTGAGCCTTGCTTTTTTTTTTCTGTTCGTTGTCTTTATTTTACTTTATTTTTTATTGAAGTACAATCAATTACAATGTGTCAATTTCTGGTGTACAGCACAATGTCCCAGTCATGCATATCCTGAGCCTTGCTTTTATAATTTTCTTACTGAGACAACACTAAGACCTATGAAATGAGGAAATAAATATTCAGTCACGTGGTGTTGGTTTCAAGTCCTACTGGATTTGGAAACAAGACAGAATCAATGTTCAGACATGGTTTTGAGAACGAGGCGAGTCTTTTTTGGATATAAATTCTCTGGATGTGCCAGGCATTGTTCTCCCTGTCTGCACGCATGAACTTGTTTCAGCTCTCTAACAACCCTCAGACCCAGCTACTATTATCCCCATCTGACAGGTCACAAAAAAGAGGCTTTGGGGAAGTTATACTTGCCCGAAGTCCCTGCTTATGACTGAATGGAATCTGAACCCCAGGGAAGTGTGATGCCTAGAAGTTATTGAAGAAATAGCTATGAATAAACTCACAGAACAAAAGAATGAACAAAATAATCATATTAGGAAACACTTAGCATAGCATGTTTCTCTGCACCCAGTGGGTCTCCAAGTACTTTCCACTAATTAACTCATTCAATTTCCATAATAACCCCAAGTGATGGGTACTGTTACAATTCCTGTGATGCAAATAAGGAAATGGACTTGCAAAGAGATGAAATAAGGGGCTTGAGCTCTCCCAGCTGGTGTGTGGTGAAGCTGGTGTTCAGACCATAGGCACTGACTTCTCTACTGCAGAAGGTAGAGGGTCAGGCAGAACCCACTATCCCCCATCCCCTCCCCGTCAGGCGAAAGATAAGGCATCGATGGACAGGGCAGCCATAAAGGGAGCACGATGACCATCTGACCATCTGACAGGTCTTTCGTGTCAACTGCTGCTGACAAATCAGGATGGACCTGGAAGGCAAGCCTTTGAATTTGGCCCTGGGGTGATCATCGACCTTTCAGAGAGGCTTTCAGGAGAATGATGAGGGCAGAAGTCTGAATGCAGAGGGTCAGGAAGAGAATGCGTGGGGAGGACAGGCTGACAGCCAGCTTAAGCCTCCTATTTGGCATTAAGCAGAATAAAGATCTCGAAAATAGCCAGGAGGGGCAGGGTCCAGAGAAGGGCTATTTAGAAAGTAGGTGAGTGGTTGCCTAGGGCCTGGGGTGGGGGTGGGGCAGCATTTCTATTTAGAGATAAAAAAATGTCCTACAATGAGTGATCATGATGGTGGTACAACTCTGTGAATACACTAAAAACCAATGGACTGTACACTTTAAATGAGTGAATTGTATGCTATGCAAATTGACCTCAGTAAATTGTACACACCTGCACACATATACCGAAAGAGGGAGAGAGAGAGAAAATCACTGTTTAAGTTTGGGATAATGGGACTTGGGAGACGGGGAGGAGCTACAGCTTGGGAACTCAGATCCCTGGCCTCAGTCCTTATTCCCCGCTGCTTGGCCTTGTAAAACCACACATTCAGGCTGGTCCGTTCTCC